CCCCTGAGCGGGCAGAAGCTGGAAGCTTCCGAAGCCTAAGGTGAATCCCCACCTGATTGCTGTGGGTTGAGGACTCTGGCTGTCTTCACTACCCCATTCTATCTCAGTCAACTCTTGTTGACTCTGATTCCTGATTCCTCATTCTCCCCGGACATGACCACTTTCTAGTCATCATTAAACATTCTTTTTCCTGGGGCGCCTGGGTGGCGCAGTTGGTTAAGCGTCCGACTTCAGCCAGGTCACGATCTCGCGGTCAGTGAGTTCGAGCCCCGCATCGGGTTCTGGGCTGACAGCTCGGAGCCTGGAGCCTGTTTACGATTCTGTGTCTCCCTCTCTCTCTGACCCTTCCCCGTTCATGCTCTTCCCAAAAATAAACGTTGAAAAAAAAAAAAAAAAATTCTTTTTCCTGAGTCCATCTTTGGCCTTGGCTCTACGCCAGCACCTCTGAACTTTGGGACCCAGACAGGTTCACTGGACCATTTTTACTTTGTTGTCTGTTCACCCCTTAATAGAATATAAACTCTGGTAGGATGGGGACTTTAGTTTTCTTACTGTTCATGCCCGGTACCTAATACTGGACTTCGTACATAATAGGTATCAGTAATTGCTGACTGAGTTGGGGTATTTTTCCCCATTTCCCTTTCTCTCCTATCCCCCCTGGCCTCATTTCCTCTCCCTGGCTTCAGTCACTTAGTTTTACATGACAGCTCTTTGGCTCTGCTCCTTTGTTGTGGTTCTGGGTTCAGTCTCCCCATTTTCCCCTCTACAGGTCATGGCTGATCTCTGAAGGCTACGCCGCAGGCCCGGGAGACATCTCTCCTGACTGGTCCCCTGAGCGATGTCCCCCACCTCCTCCACCACCGGAGCCAGCTGAGCCAACCAGCCCCACCCTGGGCCCAACTTCACTGCGGACGCCTCGCACACTGCGCACACCTGGCCGCAGCCCTGCCGCCACCTCTGAGGAGCCTTGGGGCCGTGAGGGGCCAGCGCTGCTGCTGCTGTCGCGCTTCTCCCAGGCTCCCGACCCAAGTGGGGCATTGGTGACCAGCCCAGCCCTATGTGGCCTGCTGGCCTATGTGACGGGCTCACCGGGTCCACCGAGCCCACGTGCACTGCGCATCCTGGCACGCCTTACCTGCAACCCTGCCTGTCTCGAGGCCTTTGTGCGCAGCTATGGTGCTGCACTGCTGCGTGCCTGGCTTGTGTTAGGTGTTGCCCCGGAAGATTGGCCCACGCTGCGTGCCCGCCCAGTTCGACGCCAGCACCGGGAGCTGGGTGTGTCCCCATAAGAGGCCCCATCCCCCTCTGGTTCTGGACTGAGAACCTCACTCTGCTGTTCATACCTTTCTCACTGCCCTGCCCAGCCCACCATCCAACCTCAGTCACCAGGTGGGAAGAGGGAGGGACTCCCAGCATGCAAAGTTCTGCTCCATCTTCTGCCCAAGTCTTGGGGCCTGTGTACCCCAACACCAGGCTTGGTCCTAACAACTTAGAATCATGTTTGTCTGTATTTCATTACCCAGTATGCTCTTGGTTCTGCACTATCCTGATTGCCTTCCCACTGGGCACACTGAGTTAGAAAACTCTGGCTCAGGCACCATATCCTCCTAGGCCCCCCACCAATCCCAACACTGCCAGGGACTTCCCTGTCTTCTGTGTCCTGACTGCAGGTTCTGAGTCCTTTAGAACCCAGATGTATGCCCTGACTATCACACTTTGTTCTTGCCCTTGATCTTCAGTTCCTAGCATCTGGACCCTTTCCCTCGAGGGCCTGCAGTCCTACCCCCTTCCATGCCATGAGATTTTAGCCTCATTCCTTTGAAGGACCCAGAGTTGGGACATCAACTCCCAACCTGACTTGCTCTGCCCATCTCTGCAGGTGAGATGCTGCTGCAGAACCTGACTGTGCAGGCTGAATCACCCTTTGGAGTGGGCGCCCTCACTCATCTGCTGCTCTCTGGAAGCCCTGAGGACCGCGTGGCCTGTGCACTGACCCTGCCCTTCATCTGTCGGTGAGGGGGATGTGGGTACCTCACAGGGATCAGGGGAGCAAGGTTGCTATTCCCTAATGCCACCGTTTTTCACCTTCTGAAAGATTCCCTTTCTTCCCAAAGGAAGCCCTCTCTGTGGCGCCGGCTACTTCTGGACCAGGGCGGCCTCCGGCTCCTCCTCTCAGCACTAACTCGGCCAGCTCCACATCCACTCTTCCTCTTCTTTGCTGCGGACTCCCTTTCCTGCCTCCAAGGCCTGGTGTCTCCCACTGTGAGCCCAGCCCTCCCACCTACAATCCCTTTGGATCTAGATGCCCCCTCCCCTTGCCTTTATGAACGTCTGCTGGGCCCAGCCCCCATCCCAGCCCCTGACCTGCATTTCCTACTGGACTCAGGCCTACGGCTCCCTGCCCAGCGAGCTGCCTCAGCTACTGCCTCCCCTTTCTTCCGGGCCCTGCTAGCTGGCAGCTTTGCCGAAGCCCAGATGGACCTGGTGCCACTTCGAGGCCTGTCACCCAGTGCAGCCTGGCCTATCCTGCATCACTTGCATGGCTGCCGGGGCTGTGGCGCTGCACTGGGGCCTGTTCCCCCACCAGGCCAGCCCCTGCTGGGCTCAGAGGCTGAGGAGGCACTGGAGGCTGCTGGCCGTTTTTTGCTCCCTGGGCTGGAGGAGGAGCTGGAAGAGGCTGTGAGCCACATCCACCTGGGACCCCATGGTGGCCCAGAGTCAGTGGGTGAAGTATTCCGCCTGGGCCGGCCCCGACTGGTTGCGCATTGTGCCCGCTGGGCTCTGGGGCCAGGGCAGTGCCCTCGGAAACGGGCCTTGGCCTTAGTGGGGCTTGTGGAGGCAGCAGGCGAGGAGACAGGGCCCCTGACTGAGGCTTTACTGGCTGTGGTAATGGGGGTTGAATTCGGGGGCAAGGGTTCCAGCTTAGACTGTTGATGTCCCCTGGGAGGGGATCGAAGGATGAGTTGGCTATGAAGGAGGACTCCCTCAGAGCAGCATAAGAGGAAGCTGAGCAGAAGTCACCATTGAGGACCGATGAGAGAATGGAACTGTACCCCAGGATGATGGTCTGAAGACGCCAGGGTCCGAGTGTGGGACCCACAGATGAAGAACAGCCCAGGGCTCCAGGCACCTGGCCTGGGCCAGCCTTCCAGAGTTGAGATTAAAAACTTTGGAATTGGATACCCCTATTGTGTGGTGTCTCTGCTTACTTTCCAGTGGGAGTCCCCCCACTCCCTTCACCCATCAAACAGGGTCTTGTCCAAGTTGACGTGTCTCAACACAGGCCACCTTTGGCATGTAGGAGTTTAATAAGTAATTATGCAGTGGTTCCTGGAGTCCTGGGATAGAGTAGAGTACTGGGAGAAGCCTGCTTTCTGCTTATGCAACTTCATTGCTCAGGTATCCAGCTAGACACACAGACTTTGGTTAGTGTGTTTTGAAGGGGCTGGGCTGAGGAAATGTGAGTGTGGGGATGTATGTCCAAGGCCTTGGCATTGCCGTTTCCCGAGTGACCTTTGCTCATCTTGGGTCTTCAGTCTCTGTGTCTGTCTTCATCTCTTGGACGAAGTGTCCTTCTGCTATTAGCCTGAAGGAAGACCTCTATGTTCCTAGACTCCCCAAAGCCCTGTCTTAGTTTTGCTCAGAGAGGGCCAGAGCTCCAGGTTGTATTCAGCTTATGTTGTGCTGTGTATGATCTCTCAAGGCAGGATCTACATCACCAGGATCCCAGATCACTAAACCACTCAGGTGGCAGCCTGACTTCAAGGAGGGTGCCCAGACTGGCTGCCAGTTAGCTTCTGGGGAGCTAAGGTTGACACTTGCTATCTCTGTGCTTCTGTGAGTGTCCAGGTCTCTGTTCTTGGGCTGTGCATTAGAACTATCCAGAGAGCTTTTTAAAAATACTGATGCCTAGGCTTTTTCTCATTGAATTGGACTGAGGGGAGGATGCTTTGGGCATCAGTATTTTTAAAAAGCTTCCCAGGTGGTTTTAATTTGCTGCTGGGTTGAGACCCACAGTCCAGGGACTGCAACACTGTCGTGTCTGTCCAAACTCCGCTCTAAGTGTTCACTTCCACCTTGATTTCCGGGGGTCTCAGTCCAGGGAAGGCCCCTTGTTCCTTTGTGGATGGGGTCTGTGTCTTCTCTGTGTTCACCAGTATCTTGGGAAAGGGCTCTTTCCCAAGGGTCGCCTCAGTGTTGGGGAAAGGCTTTGTCTTGAAGGCTGGCTATGGTCTGGTTGCCTGAAAGTGTTTTCCCTGAGTCTGCATGGGGCTTGGGCCTGGGTTCAGTTTAGCTGTGTCTGTATGTTTGGTTCCAATTTTTGGAGAGAAGGTCCTGGCTTAGAGGATGGGAGAGTTCGTTGTGTCTATCTGTCTCCATTTCTGAGAGTTTTGTGTCTAGTATATGTGCCATTTGGGATCTGTTCATGTCATTGCTATCAGGGTCTCTAAGGGAATGTCCCTGAACCTGCTGTCTAACTGATCCTTAGAACGATCACTTCTGCCCCCAACCCAACAATTCTGTCTGGGGCAAGTCTCTCTGGAATGGCCTGAGTGGACAGGGGCTCAGGGTGCTAGCCTTGGTGGGGGGTGTCTGCTTGGGGGCCTCAGTCTGGTCTAAGAGTCTCATTGAGCAGAGGATCTCCAGCTTGGTCTGGGAGAGCCTCTTCTCTGACTTTGGCTCAGGCAGCCTGGGGCTCCCTGTAGCTGAGGCCAAGGCTGGGGTGTGGCTGCCTCCGCGGCAGACAGGCGGGCTGGGCCTGGGTGGGCCTTGGCCCTCCTTCCTTTACACGCCCCCATCCTGGGTTCTCCCGTTCTTTGCACCCTCGCTACCCAACCCACCCACCCCCACCCCCCGCCGCCCCTGCCCCCCACCAAGCTCCATCCCAGCGGGTCCCCATCTATGGTACACGCCGGCCTCAACTCCAGGACTGTCCCCCCCACCCCTGCCCCACTGGATCACAGCCCCGCCCCTGCAAGCCTCAGCCTCTGCGCGGTGCGCCCGTGCCCCGCCATGGAGGACCTGGGTGAGTGGGGCTTGGGTCCCCTTATCCCCAGCTCCTCACCACCATCTAGACCCGCTTCCTCATCCTGGAGCCCCCTTGCACTCCCCAAATCGCCCCATCCCTGCCTTCTGTCTTCTTGATTCTGGTCTTTGCCCGCGCCTCCTTTCCGACACCACGTCCCCCTTCCTGCCTCTCCCTTCCTGCCTTTCCCGGACTGGCCGCTCCCTCCCTTCTTCCCTCGCTCAGCTCCCTCCCTTCTTCCCTCGCTCAGCTCCCTCCATCACAGGCTGCTGACGGATGGGCAGGGAGGTGCAGCGCCTGCCAGTGGGCGCCTGGGCTCAGGGGCTCTGGGAAGGGAAGGGTTAAAAGGGTCTTGGGGTCCAGGCCTGGGAAAGTAGATGGGAAGGGAGAATATGAAATCGAATTCTCGAGAAGAAAATGGGCCTGCCTCAGAGTTTAGGAGAAGAAAAGAGTTAAGGGACCCTAAGTATGGTAGGGGTCGGGTCTTTCCGCCTAGAAAGAGAACAGATGAGTGCCAAGATGCCAGGAAGAGGTTAAGGGTTCCACTGTGGTACTCAGAGATGAATAAAGGAGTAGGGACTTCTAGGTTCTGGAAAGGAAAGGATTCAAAGGATCTAGATCTGAGGATGGGTGTGGGTGGGGGGTTGTCTTGGAGGAAGAAGGAGGACCGGCATCTCCTCCTCCTGGTCTGTTGGAAAGGCTGTACTCTCCATGGGAGAGAAGGGGTTCAGGCACCCTTCAGTAGGGGGTGCTGCTCAGTAGGGGCAACCGGCTTGTATGGAAAATAAGCCAATCAGAAAGCAGGTCCCAGGAGACCTGCCAATGAGGAGCATAGGGTGGGACCCAGTACCTGGAGTTGTGCCACAGCTGGGCGAGTCTGTTTAGGTGGGGGAGGGGAGCAGGAATTACTGGGCAGAAAGAGCATCCAACCAGAAAACTGGGTGCCAGGCATACAGCCAACTGAGCAATTTGGGGTGAAGCCAAATTTGGCTTGCGTAAATCGTCAATTTTGACTGCATCAGGGAAGATGCAGAAAATAAAAGAATCAGGTGGTTTTTGTGCATGACTCCCAAGATGAGCCATTTGGGATGTTTTTGGTCATAAATATTCCCTGCTGCACTTCTACTTCTCTGCCTTGGTCTGGTCTGTGTTTCCATCTGATTCTTAACTTCTGCTCTTAATACTGGCTTCTGTCCTCCTCAACTACTGCCTACTTGGAACTCTTATCTTCTAATCTCTTAAGTCCCTGTCTCTGCTCTAACCTTAACCTCTCAACTTCTCATCCTGACGGACTCTCCCCTGCAGATGCCCTGCTGTCTGACCTGGAGACCACCACCTCACACATGCCAAGGTCAGGGGCTCCAAAAGAGAGGTCTCCGGAGCCTTTCACATCTCCCCTGCCCTATGGCCACCAGTCACAGGTGAGATCAAATGTGGGGGACTGGGGTGACACTAGGGCCAAGTTTGGCCAGGGCTAGGAGAAGCTGAGCTTGAGTGGGGCAAAGTATAGATCTATCATCCCACACATGCATCTTTCTGTCTGTAGACAGGATCTGGGGAGTCTTCAGGAGCTTCTGGGGACAAGGACCATCTGTACAGGTGAGGGTTCTGGGAACTGCAGGAGGTGGAAGCCAATTAAGACTCAGGTGAAGAGGCTTGGATTCCCCACCCCTGAACCCAGGCTTCCACCCTGTTTTCCAGTACGGTGTGCAAGCCTCGGTCCCCAAAACCTGCAACTCCTGCGGCCCCTCCATTCTCCTCATCCAGTGGTGTCTTGGGCACAGGCCTCTGTGAACTAGACCGATTGCTTCAGGAACTTAATGCTACCCAGTTCAACATCACAGGTACCAGGTCACAGAGATAGGCCTTGATGGGATGGGGACACGGTGGAGAAGGGAAAAGAGTGAGGGGTATACTCTTCCAGAGTAGCAGCTAACAGGACACAAGTCTTAACTGGAAGGGGATAGAGTATGACCCCATATCCAGTGCCCTTCTCTCCTCTCTGCAGATGAAATAATGTCTCAGTTCCCATCTAGCAAGGAGACTGCAGGGGAACAGAAGGAGGACCAATCTGAGGACAAGAAAAGGCCCAGCCTGTGAGTTTGACATGGCTGGTAGAGCTGGGAGAGAGGTGATAGATGCCTAAATTACTGGAGGATAGCATTCATTATTCTGGGGGGCTCTGAGCTAACACAAGTTGTGTTCTTCACAGCCCTCCCAGCCCATCCCCTGTTCTCCCAAAGCCTTCAGCAACCTCGGCCACCCTGGAATTGGATAGGCTGATGGCTTCACTGTCTGACTTCCGTGTCCAGAACCACGTGAGTCAGGTAGGAGGTGGGCCAGTGTGGATTTGTGGCTCCCCAACCCCTTTTAGAACCATCCACTTCTTCTGCCTTGTTGACTCAACTCTGATGTCCTTCTTGCTGCAGCTTCCAACCTCTGGGTCAACTCAGCCACCAGTGCCAAGCTCTGTGAATGAGGGCTCCCCATCCTCACCAGGGCCAACTAGCAAGGGCAGCCTAGACACCATGTTGGGACTGCTGCAGTCTGATCTCAGCCGCCGTGGTGTTCCCACCCAGACCAAGGGTCTCTGTGGCTCCTGCAATAAACCTATTGCTGGGCAGGTAAGTGGAGAACTGTGAGTAGGGAGATAGAGCCCCATGGACCCATCCTGAGAGCCAGATTTTGTGTTGTTTTCTTTTAGTAAATGACTCTGGGAAGTGGGTATTACTGTTGTTCATATTTTACAGATGAGGAAACTAAAGCTCCGAGTCACATTGCACGTAAGTGGTAGGATGAGAATGAGAATTCCAACTCAGTTACCATTTATTGTGGTTCTACTTTGTGCAGGCACTATTCTAGCTCTCTTACAAACCTCCATCTCTTAGTCTTCACAAAAGTCTTATTGGGGCCACCTACCATTTCTCAGTCATCCACAAAAGATGTTTCTGCTCCACCAGCATCCGGTGTGTGAACTCTGGTTCTTGGCTAATTGACTGAGTAAATGTTGTTGACAACAGCTGTGCCCAGTGGTTGACCTAGATCCTCTTGCTAGATTTAGTGCCCTGCTTCCATCCCAGAATTTTCAATCTTAGCAAAGCAGGATGGCATTGTGACTTTTTTGGGCCCTAGTCACTTTCACCTTCATGGGTCCCTCCCTCCATTAAATTAAAAATTAAAATTGTGTTTTATGACTGCGTTGGTATGAAGAAGAATTTCTTAATATTATATATTAAATCATTTTCTTCCAGCTCATTTTTTTCTTCTGATTTTTAAAGTAATTACAACATTTTCATGAGCTTCACAGTCCTAAGTACTGTGCTGGAAGACCTGGGTTGAATCTCTGTCACTTACAGACTGACTTGAACATTAGGTTCTTCATCCTAATCTCTTAGGGTGAGTGGAGAGAAATGAGTGAAGGGAGTCAAATGGTAAAAAGAAAAAAAAAAAAAAAGAAAAGAAACTTAGCCAAAGCATGTAAATCTTACCATTAATGATGGCAGCTCAAGGACCACTCTGATCCAGGCCTCACCCTCAACTCACACAGGTAGACTGCTGGGTCAGTATTTTGCACCCTGAGCACTTCTATTTTAAGTGTGTGGCTGTTCCATGTCCCTGGGAGGCAGCAGCTTCTTCGAGAAGGATGGGAGCCCCTTCTGCCCTGAGGCATTTCTTTGATGCTTTCCCCAGAAGTAGGCCTCTGCAATCAACCCATCCGACATGTGAGCTGCACCTGTCCCACAAACCCCACTCACCTTAGGTCCCTGTGGGTGGGGCCTCATCTCCAAATTGCTGTTTCGTCACCCATGCTAAGGCTTCCTTTGAGTTGTGTCCATGTCTTTGGACTTCCACCACTCTTCTTTGACTTCCAAGTTCCTTGAAAGGTCTCTCAGCTCAAACTCCTACTTTAAACCCAATTGCATAGGTTCAGGGTAGAGAAGGAAGAAGGGAAGGCTACTTGAGGCCACTGCTCATGCCCTCCAGAAGATGGTCACTGCCTTGGGTGCACCCATGGCACCAGAGCATTTCAAGCCAAGGGCCAGTTGTGGGAGCTCCTTCGAGATGAGGAGAGCTTGGCTCCAGTCTTGGAAAGCCACACCGCCCTGCTCAACATCCCTCACTTGAACCTTGGTCCAGCCTGCTAAGACCTTCTCCAAGCTCCTAGCCCCACCCCTCTCCCACTTAAGTAGTCCCCATCCTATCTCCTCACTAGGCCCCCCCCACTTGTGACCCCCATCCTCCCCTCTGCTGCTCAATCTGGCCCTACTCCCTCATCTGGCCTTCCAGTCTCAGATCTTGTAAGTCTTGGGGTGCAGCTCTGTGACCCTTTTCTCAGCCTGCTCCTGCCTCTGGTTTTATGATGTTGAGGGCTGCTCCGGGACTTCCTGTAGCTGTTCTGCCTGCCAGCTGCCAGGGGCTGTCAAGGCCCCATTCTGGGATAATCATGATATCCGCGCCAGCTTCCCAGCACTGACTGTTCTGGCCTGCAGGGTGCGCTCCTAGGGGGGGAAGTGTTGGGGGGTGCATGGGAGCGTGTGTGGATGGGAGTTGCCGCGGGGAGCCCAACTAGGAGCCTAGGCCCAAGACAGGTGTACATCTCGGGGCTGTGGAGGGTACACAGTGGGGTTATTATTCCTAAAGTTATCTGGTCAGGGGATTGTTGGCTGACCCATCCTTTCATGGCCACCCTCCCCCAGGAATGCTTCGTGCCCTTCTCGGGAGGCAGCTTTTTTGAGCACGAGGGACGCCCTCTGTGTGAGAACCACTTCCACGCTGCCGGGCGTAATTAGGCAAGCACGCGGTGGCCTCCCGGTGACCGGCCGCTGTGTGTCAGCCCTGGGCCGCCGCTTCCACCCAGACCACTTCACCTGCACCTTCTGCCTGCGCCCTCTCACCAAGGGCTCCTTTCAAGAGCGTGCAGGCAAGCCCTACTGCCAGCCCTGCTTCATCAAGCTCTTCGGCTAATGGCTTGTGGGGCTCTCCACCCACCCCTGATGCCCCCAGCCAGGAGACCAAGGCCCCAGAGACCCCCACTCTTCCCCAAAAGACGTGCTCTCCTGACCCAAAGGCCTTGCTCTTTGAGCTTGGGGCTCTCCCCACCCCATCCTGTGAGGCCCCACCCGCTAGAGAGACCCCCCACCCCCAAGGTGCTGTACTCTTAAGTTCTCTGTGGTCAGAGAAGATCTGGCCAGTTTCAAAGCCACACTGCCCCAAAGTGGGTCTCACAAGTAGAGCCACCCTGCGTGAACTCTTCACTTTATCCCCAACCTTGAGGGAGCCCCCTTATGGGGCAATTCCTAATAATCAGAGGATAGGACAAGACATCCCTGCTCCCTGCTCCCTCACTATTCTGAGCACTTTTTTTCTACCTGCATAAAAACATGTTCCACATCACACTGGTGCTGTGTCTCTGACTGCCCTGGGGTGGGGGCGCGAAGTGGGGAAGCCTTGCATGGTGAAGCCCTGCCTCTGGTGTCTCTGGCTGCAGCAGGTTCTAGGTCATCACCCTGTGGCCGCAGTGGACCTACAGCCTCAGCCGTTGTATGCTGTCCTTCACATATCAAATGAGCCTGCGCAGGATTGTACAGATAGTGGCCAGCCAGGACAGGAGCTCAAGCTGGGCCCCGTGGAACCTTCCCACCCTCATTCCCCACTTCTTTAGCTCCATGTATTCTTGAAATAAGCAATTAATCTGTCTCCACCCTCACCACCTTGTCTAATTTCCAGATTTTTAAGACCCTCAGAGAGGGGTTCCATCCAGAAGTGCCAGTTTATGCCCACCCTTTGGATCTGGGCACTAAGGCACAGCTTCCCTCTTATTTATATTGACTCATTACATCTCCCCTAGGCAGAGAATGACATGTGGGATGGTCAGGACAGTGACTGAAGGAAGCACTAGGGGCTGTAGGAGCCAGAAGAAGGCTTTTAACTCAGATCAGGGGTCAAGGAGCTAAGCCACAGCAGAAAGGGGTGGGGCCAGGGATTTTTTGGTGTGGAGTTTAGGCTCTGATTCCCCAAATCCCTTTCTGAGCCCCTGAACCTTCACTTTGAACTCTGCAATTCCCTAGTGAGGGGGCCTGGATTCCTGGATCTAAACTATAAATCTAGATCTAAACAATAGCCTTTGAGGCTGAAAATGATGGATTGATTCTCAGAGGTCCTTCCTACTTAAGGAAGACCTGGTAGCCAAGGAGAGCATGTGTGGGTAAGAGACAAAGGTGAGATGTTCTCTGTCCTTGCTTCGAGCTCACCACCCCCATATCCTTTCCTAGGTCTTCCCAGGCCTCCTGCTCTTCTCCTTCCATATATTCTCCCTGGGGAATGCTGTCTATTTCCTGGATGCTAACTACCTCTCTGTCTTGAGAATGCTCAAATTGGCCAGCTCTTGTCTCAATTCATTCATTCATCAAGTGTTCTTTGAGTACGTACTGTGGCAGGTTCTATACCAAGTGCAAGGAGACCACAGGGAACCAAGCAAACATGCTTCTTGACCTCTTGGAGCTGAAGTCTAGTAGAGGAGACAGATGACAAACAAGTACACAAGTGACATGTGTAATGAACTAATGGAGACTTTCCTGATGGTTTAAGTGAAGTTCACTCTTCCCCCTTGTTTCCATCCGCAGCACCTCCCTAGTCCCTCATAGTGCTTATCTAATGCAAATAGGTGTTTATTTGTTGCTTGTTTATGTCTGTTTCTGAAACTTGAATACAAGCTCCTGAGAGCTATCTGTCAGATTACACATTTGTTTTGCTTACCATTATCTCTCCAGTTTCTAGAATGCTATCTAGCATGTGGTAGGTGCTTAATAAATGTTTGTTAATGAAGGAAAGAATGAGTAAGAAAGGAAAGGAGGGAAGGTGAAAAGGGGGAAAAAACAGAACTAAGTTGGGGAAGGGATTACTTTAACCAGATAGTCCCTGTGAATATGTAATGTGTAAGTTGAGCCTTGGAAGGTTGACAAAAGAAAACGGTCAGGCAAAGAGCTTAAGGAGAGCATTTAGGGCAGAGGAAACAGTAAGACCAGGAGGTAGGAAAGAGTTTGGCATATTGAAAGAAAGGAAAGAAGGCCATATGGCTGGATTAGAGAGAGGAAGGGGGAGAGTAGTAGAAGGTGAGATCAAATAGGAAATAGGAACCATATCATGAAGGGTCTTGTGGGCCACAGGACAGCAGATAGATTTTAACTGCCTATAATCCCAATATGCCCAACACTTGCACCTGGATTTCTCTCAGGCACTTCAAATTCATCACCCCTTGAGGCAGACACTGTGGATGCCCTGCCCATATCCACTTGGACCACTATGTACACAGTTCCCAGACACCTAGTCTCCCCAGCTGCTCCCTGAGTTTCTCTCTGAGGGTGCTCTCTGGGATAACAAGTGTGCTCCTGCACCCAGCAGGCCTGAAGTAGGAGGGGGAGGTTCTGTAAACTTAGAGACAGGAATTGATAAATACTCTAGCTCCCTGGCTCTGAGGGGTCAGTTCTGAGGTGTGTTCTCCACAGTATCTCAAAGAGTCCTCACTGGGATTGTTCACAGTGGTAGCCTTTTAGTCATCATTCCCTTTATTGGTTTTTCTTTTTCTTTGTCTCACTTCCCTACTCCTTCATAGTCCTTCCTGGGGTCACCTCCTCAGGAAAACCCTTGCCCTAAATTCTCATCTTAGGGTCTGCTTTTGAAGGCACCTAAACTAAAGCATTCCTTAAATATAACTCATATCCCCCTAAAATATTGTTTTCTGTTCTCTATCTCAGGCATGAACCCAACTGTCAGAATCAGACATCCAAATCTGGTCAATTCTTCTAGAAAGGTAGAGATACTGATATTTATCAACATCCTCCCTTCTTATAGTCAGCCCTGTGCTGAGCAATGGGACTCTAGGGATGAATCTGATCATTTCCTGCTTGTGAGTAGTCTCTAGTCTGCTGGGAAGACAGACCTGGACCCATATGAGGACAACACAATGTGCTCAGAACTGTATCAGAAAAGTCAGAGAATTCTTTCCTGAAGAGTTGACATGGGCTGGGTACTGAAGGCTACCACTTGAGAGTTAGGAGTGAGCCATTTGGGAGGCAAGAAGACACTGTAAGCAGAAAGCACAGCTTAGGCAAAAGTTTGGGTGTGTGAAAATACATGGGCTGGGCAGGGCAAGAGAGGTGGAGGGAAATATGATTTCACTCTATGTTTGGTATAGAGGACCAAGGGGAGGGGTGGGCAGGAGTCAGGGTGTGTCAGGCCTTTGAACATCAGGCTAAAGAGTTCCTACTTCCTTCCTAGTATGATGGGGAACTGGGAAGGGTTTCTAAGCAGGGGAGTGACACTGTCAGATTTGGGTTTGAAAGTGATCCCTCTGGATTAGTCAGAATCAGGAGATTGGCTCAGCCCTACTCCCTAGATCAAGGCTGAAGGGTGAGCAATTTTAGGGGATGAAAGGAGAGATTTTGAGTCTGGGGCACTGGGGCAGGGATGGGAGCTAAGGCCCAGGAAAGAGTGCTCCTGAACTTGAAAGTGACCAACTCCACTAGATGAGCTTTCGGCCTTGATGTGACCTGACTCAGCTAAATGAAGCTGGGGAGGGGAGAAAAGACCTGGGGGAGTTGTCGGCTCACTGCTCCTGAGGTAACCATTAATCCCTCTCCTGGGGAAATCCAGGGGCTGGTCCCTAGAGGGACAGATCCTAGGCAGAATGGAGGAACACATGGAGGCAGGCTCCGCACCAGGACTGGGAAACCAGAGGGTCCTAATTAACAACCTTGCTGACATCCTGGTCATTGCTGCTTATTTCCTGCTGGTCATTGGTGTCGGCTTGTGGGTGAGAAATTAGGGTGCTTCTGGGGGTCAGGATTCTGGGCCTGGGGGAAAAGTCTCAGGCAGACCCTATGTTCAGCAGGGGCAGGATGCCTGGATCTTTGAGGGAGACACCTGGGGCTGAGGGGCAAGCAAGTCTTTTGATAGCCTCAGGAAGGCACAGCCAACACTCATTCCTTGTCTTCCCACCTTTGGATTGGGCTATTTGAAGGGGTCAGTGGATTTCCATCAGGGACAGCATTCTAAATGAGGTCTCTGTTCCCCTGTCTACATATCTGACCAGAAGCCTATTCATGACTCAAGGTCTCAGGAAAAGTCAGGTCAAATCTAGCCACACTTAAATGTGGGTGTTTGGGCACTAGGTTGGGGCCTGGGTTACTCTGGGTGCCTTGGAGGAGGTTGGGGCAGGGGGTTGGGTGGGAACCATCAAAAGAGCCCAGGACTGGTTAATCTTCAGCCTGAAACAAGGCTGAGGAATGTGTTGAGAAGGCTAATGAGGTCCAAAGATGTGCCCTGAACCCAAGTCTCCTCCCACTCCTGTCCCTCAGTCCATGTGCAGAACCAACAGAGGCACCGTTGGCGGCTACTTCCTCGCGGGACGAAGCATGGTGTGGTGGCCGGTGAGAGAGGCTGTGCCATGGAGTGGGAGGAGGCCTAGAGAAGCAGCCTAGTTCACCCCCACCTCTGGCCATCTAGGTCGGGGCCTCTCTCTTTGCCAGCAACATCGGCAGTGGCCACTTTGTGGGCCTCGCAGGGACCGGTGCTGCAAGCGGCTTGGCTGTGGCTGGATTTGAGTGGAATGTGAGACCCCCCCCCCTTTTTTTTGCCAATAACCCCCACCCCAGTGGGAGCCCCTGGAACTGTCACATCTGCTCCAAGCAGGGGGCATATAAGACTGGATGTGGGACTTCCCAGTAGTGGGGTGTGGTTGGGCTTTGAGTGAGGGTCGCACATCTTGCTTGGAGGCAGGGGAACGTTGGAGATGACCACTTTCAGGGCAGGGGTAGGTCTTGCTCCTGACTTGCTGTCTAAGCCTCAACCAGCTACTACCCTCTGTGGCCTTGAGTTACTCCTCTCTGAAGTGGGGTGAAGAGCCTTAAAGATAGTGAAGTCCTTACTCTGATGCTCTCTTGAATCTGTGGCCTGTGAGGATCTCTGGACCAAATTAAAGCCCCCTGCAGAAGTGGGAAGGAGACAAAGCTCTGGGACTGAGGCTTGTCTTTGAGGGTTGGGGAGACCAGGGCTTCCTGGAGGAGGAGGCCTCTAAGCAGAGTCTTGAGGGGACAGAAAGTTTGGGTGGGTGAAGAGAAGAGGAGAAGTCGCCCTTCCTGGCAGAGGCTGAGATCAGGCTGAGAAGTCTATGGTTGTATTCATGTGCTGGGGGGTGGGGGGATAGGACCCATCTTAGGAAGAACTGGCCTGGGAGGATTGGCAGGGCTCTAGTTAAAGGCCCAAGAAGGTGTCAAGACCCTGTCCCTTAATGTCCAGGGCCCAGGGCCCAGGGACATCCTCTGCAGTTGTATCCTCTGAGCCCCGATTGGGACCTTTCCTTGGTGTAGCACATTCAGGAAGAGGTCTCTTAGACTCTAAGGGGAGGGCTAACTCAAGGAAGGATCTCAGTCATTCTCAGCTGTCATGCTGTGCCCGCAGGCGCTGTTCGTGGTGCTATTGCTCGGCTGGCTCTTCGCGCCCGTGTACCTGACTGCGGGTGTTATTACCATGCCACAGTACCTGCGCAAGCGCTTCGGAGGCCATCGCATTCGCCTCTACCTGTCAGTGCTCTCGCTTTTTCTGTACATCTTCACCAAGATTTCGGTGCGCACTCATGGAGGGGCCCTGGAAGGGCGGGATTCACAGAGTGGAGGTCTCTAGAAAGCCCTGGAAGGGGCGGGACCAAGGAAAAATCACTGTAAGAACCATGATGGAGGTAGGGTCTGGAAGGAGTAGGCTTTGGGGCTGGGGCCACAATAGGTGGGACCTGGGAGGCCAGACCTCCGAAAAATGAGAGAACCTCTGAAGCGTGGCCACATAGGGTCATGGTCTGGAAAGGAGATAGACCTGGGTCCCTTGCCCTGGTTCCCGGGTCCTGACCTGTGCAATCACTCCTTCCCCCAAGGTGGACATGTTCTCCGGGGCAGTATTCATTCAACAGGCTCTGGGCTGGAACATCTATGCCTCCGTCATTGCCCTTCTGGGCATCACCATGATCTACACTGTGACAGGTTGCTGTGGCAGGGGCTTAGGGAAGGAATGGTCTGGGGAGATGTGCTGGGAGCGTCACTGAAGCACATTCGGCTCACTAAGCCCTGCCTCCTGATGCCCGGGTACATGAGCCTGAAGAATGGGCTATTTCTTTGAAATTTGCTCTCCAGGAAGGGGCACAGTTTTCAAATTTGCACAAAGACACCATATGTACGCGGGGCAGCCTATTTGGGCTGTCTCCACTAACCCAGACCCTTTGCAGGAGGGCTGGCAGCGCTGATGTACACGGATACTCTGCAGACTTTCGTCATTCTTGGCGGGGCCTTCGTCCTCATGGGTTACGGTACGGAGCTCAACCAGTGGGGGAGGGGCACGGAGGTTGCAAGTTGCAGAGTTCTCCACCTGGGAGCAGAGGCAGCGCATGTCTCCAGCATGTGGGTCCTAGGGAGGGCCTTGGCGTGGGCCCCAGGTCCCCTGACAGCCTTGCCCTCACAGCCTTCCACGAGGTGGGCGGGTATTCGGGGCTTTTCGACAAATACTTGGGGGCAATGACGTCGCTGACGGTTTCTGAGGATCCGGCTGTGGGCAACATCTCGAGTTCCTGCTATCGACCCCGGCCCGACTCCTACCACCTGCTCCGGGACGCTGTGACAGGGGACTTGCCGTGGCCTGCACTGCTCCTGGGTCTTACCATCGTCTCAGGCTGGTACTGGTGCAGCGACCAGGTGCGGGGTCAGGGCTTTAGCTGGGAGCTAGGCCGGGGCAGAACCAGAACCGCTATGAGCAGGGCTGAGATGGGTGGAGCCAGAACACATCTGTGGGAGCCCCACTGCATGGTCTGAGGGGTCGGGAACTTGGCCAGGATGGAGTTAAACCAGTGCCACTGGGATCCAAAGAATTTGGGTCTGTAAGTGAAAGCGAATTGCCAGCAAGTGAATTGCTGAGCCAGAGGCAGGCCTGAATTAGGGCAACCAGTTAAGGCAAAGCCTGAGGGGCAGGGAATCCAGGACTGGTCACAGATTGTTGAACTGACCTTGCCCCAGGTCATTGTGCAGCGCTGTCTGGCCGGGAAGAACCTGACTCACATCAAGGCGGGCTGCATACTGTGCGGCTACTTGAAGCTGATGCCCATGTTCCTCATGGTCATGCCAGGCATGATCAGCCGCATTCTTTATCCGGGTAACGTCTGCAACCCCACGCCCATCAAGTGTCCTGTGCCCCATCCAGCCCCTTTCTTGTTGCATGCATTCAAGTGCCTGTTTTCCATTTCTGTTACGGTCCTTTGATTTGGGAATCCAGTCACTCACCCAGTCCCACCTCCCACAAGGGGTCCCATCTCTCTTCCACTAGGATCTCCCATCCCCACTTCAGGGATCCGAGTTCCCAGACAAGGTCCCGTTCTAGCCATGTCACGCTCTCTTGCCTGCAGATGAGGTGGCGTGCGTGGTGCCCGAGGTGTGTAAGCGTGTGTGCGGTACTGAGGTGGGCTGCTCCAACATTGCCTACCCGCGGCTGGTCGTGAAACTCATGCCCAATGGTGAGGGCAGGCGCACTGCGGCGATTGCCACTGGGAGGAGTGACCCCTTGCCAAGCCTGCACCCTCCTGGGTACACGTTGGTGGCCCTGGACTCACAGTTACAATCGGCCTGCAGGTTTGCGTGGACTCATGCTGGCGGTCATGCTGGCTGCGCTCATGTCCTCACTGGCCTCCATCTTTAACAGCAGCAGCACGCTTTTCACCATGGATATCTACACGCGCCTGCGGCCCCACGCAGGGGACCGTGAGCTGCTGCTAGTAGGACGGTGCGGCCTGGGTTTCCCCCAGGTCCTGCCCCACAAATCAGCCTTGGGGTGGGGGCAGAGAACACTCGGGAGGATTGGGGGAGATGGGGGTCCTGGGTGTAATCTGCTGATGGCCACCCACTGCAGGCTCTGGGTGGTGTTTATTGTGGCTGTGTCAGTGGCCTGGCTACCCGTGGTGCAGGCAGCGCAGGGAGGGCAGCTCTTTGATTACATCCAGGCAGTGTCCAGCTACCTGGCGCCACCTGTGTCTGCTGTCTTTGTGCTGGCGCTCTTTGTGCCCCGTGTCAATGAGAAGGTAAGCCTATGTGTAGGTTGTTAGCTTGGGTCAGAACTGGGGACACCTGGAAGAGGCTGACATTCTCTCCCCTGGCAGGGTGCCTTCTGGGGACTGATTGGGGGCCTGTTTATGGGTCTGGCACGCCTTATTCCTGAGTTCTCCTTTGGCTCGGGCAGCTGTGTACGACCCTCCACATGCCCAGCACTCTTCTGCCGTGTGCACTACCTCTACTTTGCCATTGTGCTCTTCATCTGCTCTGGCCTCCTCATCCTTGTAGTATCACTGTGCACAGCACCTATCCCACGCAAGCATGTAAGTACCAGCTTCTGGATGGGTACCAAACATGCACCCTGTGTGTGAGTGTAGCCCTCTCTACCCCTAGTCTGCCAGTCCACTTCCAGGAATGCCCAGTGGGGAAGACCTGAATTTCTATGCTGAGGGTTCATTAAGGGTAGGCTGGGAGTCCAGTTGGAAGTTGCATTTGTAAAGCAAGAACAATGTTTTATTTAAATGACATTTATTTGAGGTGGTCTGGGGGGAGGTGGCTTGAAGACTGTCCGACAAAGTCCCTGGCATGGCCTGTGGAACTCAAAACACAGGATCTGACTGGTGGCTGAGAGGGGCAGAGTACCATTTTGAAGGCCCACAAAGAGTTTGGTCTTATGCTGTTGCAGGGCAGATGCCCCAGGGTAGGGTTGATTGGGGGCCAGGACAAAAGAGCTGGGCAGAAGGATAGGCCGGTAGAGAAGGGGGGAAAGGCAGCAGGAGGAAACTATGTGGACAAATATCCACAGGAAGGTACACTGTTAGCAGGACTAGAACACCAGGGTCTAAAGTACTACAATTTGAATGTAGAGGGACCTGGGTTGATGAAGCAGGGGGTGAGCAGGGCCAAGAACTTTAAACACACAGTTGAAAGGCCTAGGTTTAGTATGAGGGCAAAGGGCAGCCATGGAAAGTTGGGTTTGAGTGAACGGAGTCTGGATTAAGTATACAGGCTGGACTGAGGGTGCTAAGGGGGTACCAGGTGGACAAGAGACTTCAGGGTCTGGGGTGGGGGAACAGCACTTTCACTTGGTCCCCACTCCCTTCCCCAGCTCCACCGCCTGGTTTTCAGTCTACGGCACAGCAAGGAGCAGCGGGAGGACCTGGATGCCGATGAGCTAGAAGGTTCAACTTCACCCCCTGTACAGAATGGGTGTCCTGAACATGCAGTGGAGATGGAGGGTAAGGCACTGCTTCAGGAGGCGGGGCTAAGGACTAGGGGAGCCAGGTTTCCTCAAACTAACTGTAGGGTGTCAATTTTCCCTAGAGCCCCAGTCCCCAACACCAGGCATGTTCCACCGGTGCCTGCTCTGGTTCTGTGGAATGAGCAGGAGTGGGGCAGGTAGTCCCCCAGCCCCTACCCAGGAGGAAGTGGCTGCAGCAGCCAGGCGGCTGGAGGATATCAGTGAGGACTCGAGTTGGGCCCGTGTGGTCAACTTCAATGCCCTGCTAATGATGGCCGTGGCCACGTTCCTCTGGGGCTTTTATGCCTGAGGCCAACCGTGTTGGACACCATGAGCCACTGCCAGGGCAGGGCTCAGCTTCACAATGAATGGGAGTGGGGAGCCTGCAGTGATGAGAAGGGAGTAGGGCAGGGAGAGGGAGGGGGAAGGCCCTGGTTCCCTTTCTCTCCACTGCCAGGGGCCCAGTCTACCTGACTGGCAGTCATAGCCCATGAGGCCTTGGCCAAACTGCCACAGCAGTTCCCCTAAGCAAAAATAAAGCTGCTGTTCCCACATTGTGCTGTGGCCAAAGTGTGCTTGCTTCAGGCTCCTGTCCTGAGACCTGGGTGGGCCTCCACCTCACAAGACCTTCTTTTCTGGAGACAGAAGCCATGTGGCTCTCCACTCATCCACCTCTAGCTGGTGCTTCTCAGTCTTCCAGCCTGCATCCTGCAGTCCTGGGGAGAGGTCATAAGGGTGCTGCTGGGACTGCTGGAGAGAAGACTCCAGGCTGACCCGGGGGAGAGTGGTAAGGAGTGGCACAAGCCAGGTACATGCTCTGTGCACTGCCCAGGCTCTACCAGCCTCTGCGGGGTAGTTTCTGGCACAAAATGGGGCTAAAACCTCATCTGGCTGCAGCATGAAGTCACTGAGTTAGTATATGGAAAAATGCTGGAATGGAGTAGGTGCTAAATCAAAGATCATCATCATTTGTGAGCCTCCCCCCAGTTCTTCAATGCCAATTGGGATTACACAAATTGCTAACATGACACAGCCTCTGGGACCATTCTACCTCCCTATCCTATTGACGGGGAAATGAGGTCCAGACTTAAGATCACAGAGAGAATCCAGGTCCTCCACCTCAAAGCTAGAGGTGTGGGGATAGCGTTAGGCAGAGCCTCTGGGGAGGAGGCCTCAGAAGCCAAGGAGCCATGGGGCTTAAAAATGTTACCTTTCAAGAACTTTGGGAATAGCTTGTCCAACACTTGGTGTGTGTCCCTGACGATGACCCAGTTGTCTTTCTCAGGACCTGGAGGGGGGTGCAGACCCAGAAGTTCTCAGGTCCCCAAGTGGAAGAGTCCTTCCTCTCTCTATGCCTCTTTGAGCCATCAACAGTCTACACTGTGAGGTGCTTACCTGCCCGTAATTGGTTCCTCAGTTCCTCCAGCCCTCTTGGGAGGGGCCCATCTCCCTGCAGGGCTTCAAGCACCAGCCCGTGTGTAGCAGCCCTTAGGATGGTTTCAGGGCCTGCCATCTGGCTCAAAACGACTTGCACCTGGTCTGGAGAAACCCAAGACAGACTGGTGCTAGGGAAGGGCCGCCTCCCAAAACATTCTCAAACTAACCACCTTGCTTCATCCTTGTCTGCCCTGAGGCCTTGGCCTGCATGGATGGAGGCTATCTTTCACCCTTTTCTCTTCCAGCTTCTCTCCTGTTGTTCCCAATGTCTGGCCAAACTGAAATGCCCAATTTCCAAATACAACTTTATAGCAGCTCACGAGGTGGGTTTATTTTGCATGTCCAACAAGAAGCATCTTTTAGCACACAACCAGCTGACCAGTAAACTCCAATACCTGTTTCCTCAACAGGTGACTCCGGATGGGAGAGAATAGTTCTCCAGGGGTAACCAAAGGTCATAATCTTATTTGAGTATGTTGCAATCTACAAAGTGCTTTACTTAATTGCCTTTCTCATAAAAACACACAGGCAAGTAAGGCAAGTACACAGGGACAAAGTGCATTTCATTGAGGCTTGCAGCTATAGTTTGAATTCACTAAGTTTTAGTCTAGAGCTCCCTCCAGGATATCAGGCAGCCTCTAAACTGTTCAGGACTTGAGGCTCTGGAGCTGGTGGAATGAGAAGTTGACCTCAGAAGGGTGAATCTAATTCTGGAAGAGCACGGCACACTTACTTTGTGACAGGTCCCAGCGAAGGAGGTAGGGCTCTTGGTGTCCCTCAACCAGCTGTTGCAGGTCAAAAACACTGAGGGAAAGAAGAGAGTGAAGGGTGGGAGGAGGAGAAAGAAAAGCAGGAGTAACCATCCAGTCAACTGAACTGTCCTTACCTCATCTGTCCTTCACCTACTTCCCATCTCTCAGCCGTTACCCACGTACCCCATATCTATCTTTTTCTTCCTGCATCTAACAAATATATCCCTTGTATTTGCTGTTACAACCCTGCTCCCCTCAAGCATCCATGCTGACCCCAAGTCTGCTCAGTAGAAATAAAAAAACTAGAATAGAGAGGTGAGGCCCAATCAGGGGAGGCCAGAGTGTAACTGTAATAAAGAGCATGTGCGGGGAGGGTGGGATGGCAGTACTGATGGGTGGGAGACACTGAGCCACTTACCTGGAGGTCAAGCGGTGTAGGGGGACCCCCAGGGATAGAGACTGAGATGGCCAAAAACCTGTGGGAAGCTGGATGTCAGGAGTCAGGATGCCCAGACAGGGGGAGAGACTGGGAGACAGTACTTGAGACTAAGGGGGTGGATCACCTGTCCACAGTGGCTCCATCTGATTAGCTGAAGTGGGGCCAAGTACCTCTCCCCTCTGAAGGAAGTGCTTCAGGACCAGCCGGAGTCGGCCTTCATTCAAGGTCTCTATGACAAGGGCTCGGACTGCCCGGTAATTGGCGTAGATGTGAAGGGCAGTGAGGAAGAAGAAACAACCAAGGCTGAAGCTGGGGTGAGAGAGTGAGGTGGTCAACAGGGGCAGAGACCCAGCTGGGCACCTCTTCCCTGCCCTTGATCCCGGCTTACCCAGGGCAATCTGACACGAGGGGAAGCATCAAGAGACTGACCAGGAGCCCTGCCAGGTTTACCAGTGTCTCCTAGAAAAAGGCAGAGGGGTTGGAAATTAGAGGTCTTCCTTCCAGGCCAGGCTGCATATCCTTGAATGCCTTTCATCACATTCCTCCCTGCTCCAGAACATCCCAGGGCTCCCTACACTGATGAGGGTGCCTTAGTAAGTTTTTAATGTTTTGTTGAGTGGGTTGTCATTTAAGATACGAGATGCTTCTCTGTCCAGGTACATACAATATCCTTGGAACATGTCTTCTTTGTTTTGCAAGAGTCACCAGAGTAGTCCTACGCTTAGGCAACTGAATGTCCATAGAATAGGGAAGTACTTTTATTTGGTGGCTTAAAAAGATTGATCCCCCTCAGACCCTTGGTATGCAAAAACTGGGAGGCACATCTGCAAAAGGGTCAAGGAACCATCCAGGAAGGCTCAAGATCCAAACCTCTTCTCTTGAGAATCAATGTTACTAGAACCCTCTGCTGGCTTGAGATAGTCTGACTGAGCTCACCCAAGGGTGACAAACATCTACCCTTAAGTCATCATGAGGGAGGAAGAGTCTGGTTTGGTGGCCCTGACTAGTGGGGTCCAAGGGAGAGTTGGTCTTGAAGCTGGGAGAGCTCTTCTTACCCAGGTCTCCTGGCAAGGGGGCAGGCTGTGGAAATAAGGCAGTGGTTGTCATGGTAAATAAGAGATGAGACCTTGGTTGCACAGGAGCAGGAAGACCTCTTCTCCATCAGGTGGGAACAGTCATTTCCAGTGGCCACATCAGGTGGCAATAAAGCAACATCAGCAGAAAGCAGGGGCCTGCTACAGGGCTGAGCACATGTCCTGAGTTGCCCCTGAGATGTGTTCCTGCCTCTGCAGACTGAGGAAGCCCTGGGACTTGGAAAATACAGCTTGGGGACATGGGGAGAGATGGGGGTTAGAAAGAGAGCAGGTGAGAGCAGACATGAAGCTGGGAGATCCTAAAGTGCAGGACACGGGTTATACTTATTTCTCTCTTCCTAACAACCTATGGAAGAGACAGCAGGGAAGAATTGGTTCAACCATTTCCTGAGAGAAGGGATGTGCCCAAAGGTACCCAGGGTCACTGAACCTCTGACTTATTTCCTCTTTAGAAGCCAATGAGTACCTCCTGTATGAGGCCACCGTAAGTATTTAATGAGTTCATATAAATGACATACTTGGCACATGGTTAGTGCTCAATAAATATTAGCTCGTGTTAATATTTTTAGTTGTGTTAATATTATTGAAAGGAGTTAGTTTTAAATTTAAAAATTTTCTATTTAGAAACTGAGCAAAACAATTTAAGAGAAGGACAGAAAGTAGTACTGGACAGAACAGAGATTTCTAAATTGCTTCACTGTCAAAGAAAACTGTGTCACACTTCTAACCTGGGCCTCACTTTCCTCTTCTGTAAAACAGAGATAATAATAGTATCTGCCTCATGGGGTTGTGTGAGAATTAAACAGTGCAATGCACATAAGCACTTAGCACAGGGGTTTGGGGGGATCCAATACCTGTTGAATTCAGCCTTAGGGGTGTCCCCACCTCTACTTGAGGGTGCTTTTGTCTGATGAGGGGCTGGATCAGAAAGGCCTACAATACTGTCAAGTGGAGACCCCTGGCCAATGACCCCAGCCATCTCATATGCTGAGCACTTTTTGACTTGCCAAGTGCTTTAACATATGGGACACATGACCAGACATCCTCCTCTCAGTTTGGGACTATGGCCTAGAGAGGGTGAAGGTCAGGGCAAGGGCCCACTCTTGGCCACACAGGGAGAAAGGAGAGGCTGAGATGATCAGCTTGGGCTTTTTGCCACTAGAACTCATGCCATCAATTTGAGTTAAGAGCAGGGACTTCTTCCTGTGTCTCCCCTATCTACCCTCAGGAGCACTTAGGTACATCTCTCCATATTCCCAAATAATGGCCTAACCTGCCTCCCCGCTCCAACTCCCCCCAACCCCAATTCCAGCTGCTCACCTGACTGCTATCCTTGGCTGACACATCAGCCATGTTGTTTCTCCGGGCCTGGTGCATGGTCAGGGCAGCCCGAGTGGCCCCACCAGCCACACTCACAATGCACTAGGTGGGAAAAGGGAGAGTGAAGGTCAGAATGGCCATGTGTTATGGCAACATAGGCACCTCTATGGCTGAGCTGAGTAAATGACCCAAACCAGTTTGAGAAAACCAGGCACCAGGTGACCAAACAGCAAAATTCTGAATGCTGTCCTTAGTGTCTTGTTCTCATCCCCATACTTCCACTAGGTCCCCCTCCCCTCTTATTCCTGGAGAAAACTAAAGCTCTGCCTGCCATATCTCCCTATGACCCAGTCCCAAGGAACTCCATTTCGTTCCCCAAGGTGGAGGCCCACAGACTGTTCTTAGCTCAGAACTTTCCCAGCCTGCAACTCCTACTTTGGCTGCACCCACCCCTCTGCTAAGCTCCCAGGCCCAGTCTGGTTTCCAACTTTGTGCTTACATTCTGCCTATACCAAATTCCTCTCCTCCTGTCCCAGAGGAGGACTAGTCAAGTCTTCCAGGCCAGTTCAAAACCCACAGTGATGGTCCTGACCTCCCAGTGTACCTGGACCTCAATCCCTGAGATCTAAGATGGTAGAACTCATCAATGAGGGTCACTGATCACTGTCATCCATCTCATTATTTATCAAATCTCTTTTAGATGCCAGACACAGATTTAGTGCTGTGACATAACTTAGATATAACCCTTGTTCTCATGAAATCTACAAATCAATAGACAATAAATAAACAAGTTGTCGTGCAGGCAGAAGAAATGTTCAAAGGTAAGAGGAATGTGGTACAAATTGAGGCTGGAGTGACCTGATCACGTGGAATCTTGCAAACCTTGTTAAAGTCTTTATCCTAGGACCCACCAGTCAGGGAAGTGAACTTATTGGATTTCCATTCTTAAAAGGATTATGGGCTGCTCTGAGAAGTAACTGAAGAGAGGCAGAATGGAAGCAGGGAGACTACCTAGGAAGGAACCATGATTTTCCAGCAATAAGGAACCACCAGGTGACGCACAGGTGGAGTGAATGGGTTAGAGAGATTTAGGAAGGAAAAATAACAGAACTAAATAGAGGTTTAGCTGAGGGGGATAGTGGGCCAGGAAGACAGGCATGGATGACAACCAGCCTTCTGGATGGTGTACCTGAGGGACAGAGGTATTAGTCACGGAGACCAGAACTCTAGAAAGGGTGGGGGTGGTCAGGGAAAGTTCATGGCCCTATTCTACTCCTTTATTTGACAGATGAAGAGACTGAGGCCCTAAGGGCAGAATATAATACCTAACTTGAAACAGATGGCAGAGCTTGCAATCGTTGGTTCACAGCTGCAAGCAATGGTTTTCTCTGGTGTTTCCTGTTCTGGGGTTGGAGGGGGTGCTCAGGGCAGCATGCCTGGGCCAGTTACTGGTACCTGGGCTAAATGTACTCCACACAAAGAACTGTTGTATCTGAAATGTCACCATGGAGAAGCACTGCTCTAAAGTGATTGTGAACAGATAGGTACGCTTTTGAGATGGATCTTAACATGTCTTCTTGAGTCACTGCTCTGTGCCAGGTACTTAACCTTTGGTGAAGACAGGCTAAGCTCTTACTGAATTTTGCTATGCTCCAGTTTTCTCATTTGGATGCAGCCAACCTGAAGGAATTGTAAGGGTGAGCAGCTTGGCAGAGGAAGAGCTCACATTCACCCCATGTCACCCTCCAGCCTTACCATTCACTTTGTGTTTTGTCTTGCCACTGAACCATGACCCACACTATTCCTTCTGCTCAAAAACATCCACTGTTTACCTTAAACCCATTCTTCAGGACCCAGGCCCAGGAAAGGTCTTCCTGCATCTCTTGACTAGGCCAGAACTTCTGCTCAACCCTCTTGCAGCCCCCTACACTTCTCATCTGGAATACCTGTAGCTATAATTCTATAAATAGTCGTTTAATTCTGTGCAGCTTTCTTCAAAGAAGATATGGGAGGGCCCTGGGGCGCCAGGGTGGCTCAGTCAGTTAAGCGTCTGACTTCGGCTCAGGTCATGATCTTGCAGTTTGTGAGTTCAAGCCCCAGGTTGGGCTCTGTGCTGACAGCGCGGAGCCTGGAGTCTGCTTCCCCTCCCCTGTTCGGGCTGTCTCTCTCAAAAATAAATAAAAATTAAAAAAAAAAAGGGGGGGGGGAGAGGTCCTATATTCCATGCCAAACATGCAGTACATACTCAATAAAGATGTTGACACTGGACCACACTTTCTATCTTTCAGCTCAGAGCTCCCTCACCAATCCTGTGACTTCAGACACTGTCTTAGAATATGTGAGGCACTAGAAGCTACCTGGCTGGAGTATCAGAAAATGTGGTTGAGTCCGAGTAGAAAACTCTGAACTTTTCCACTTTTCCACAAGTGTTTTGAACACAGGGCCCAGGCTGGGCTCACCTGTGGGCCCACAGTAAGCCCACACATCACCACCAAGGGAGGTATACCGGTGCCCCAGAGGTGGGTACCTTGGCCAGGTTGCTGGTACAGATGGTAATGGTGAAAAAGATTGGATAAATGGGAGCCATAATCTCGAGGAACATAGCTACATCGTTGAGGATATCAGCAAAAAGCCTGGGGGGAAGGGATCAGAGGTTAGAGATCAGAGGTAAGAGACCTTCACAATAGAAGACTTCCCTCCCTTCGGTCTCAGCCCCTCCTTACCTCCATTGCTTGGCATTGCAGTCCAGTTTACTCCTGTTGGGGAGGAGAGGTTGGTTTGCAATTTGGATATAAGGAGAAAACACATCCTGTGGGCAATGCAGGCCATCCTTAGTCTGAGGTAAGGTCTGAAGGCTCAGCAAAATCCACACTCCAGGCAGACATCTATCCCAACACCCTATCACTGCTGCCTGAAATACCATTAGCTGGGAGGACCTTCAGTGGTCACTTAGTGTTGCCCCTTTACTAACACATGATACATCTAGGAAAAAAACTGATTTGTCTTGTGGTTGCTCCTCACCCTCTGCCCCTCCTGTAAGAGGTCATCCCTGGGTCCCTCTGCCATCTCCCCCCCCCCCCCCCCCCCCCCCCCCCCCCCCCCCCGCCCCATCTTCTTCCCACATGGTCAAGGGTACCCAGCAAGAAGTCCACATAGTTTGGACTGGTAAACAACTACATTTAGTGTAACTCCTGCTCAGAGAAGGGACATGACTTCCCTCAGATCACATGGAAAGCGGGATCCAAGAGAAAAAAGAAAAAGAAAAAGGCCAAGAGAAAGAGGCAGGCTCTGACATCCAGGCCTAGGACATTTCTATCACATGAGAGGATGGATACCTCTTCTGCCAGGCAGAGGGACTCCTGGCCCGTGCACAAACACTCTTCTCCAAGAGTCCAGTGGCAGAGGATGTTGCAGCCCTCAGACCAGCTCAGAATTTAGCCCTGTTCTTACTTTGAAATCTGGAAGGAAAGGGAACACTCCTAGGTGGGGTATGGGACACACAAGAGGAACTCCTGAGGGAATAAATGGCAAAGGCAGGACTAAAACCGTGGGCCTGGTCTATGGCTCTGCCCAATAAAGCAGCTTGATGCTATTAGTTATAAGCTGTGCGACTTGGGCAAGTGACTTCCCTTTTTAGGTCTGCTTTGCATCTGTAAAATGTACATATTCAATCCTCTCTACAAAGCTGTTCTAAGGATTAGAGATGATATATACAGAGCTTGTGAGGCATGGAGCTGTTAACAGCAGCTAGTGTTTTCTGAGCACTTACTATGTGCCACAATATGGTATGCACTTTGCATAAGTTATCTCACTGAACAAATTGTAGGTATTGTCTGCCTATGATTATTGGCAGATAATAAATCACTCCTAACTAAGGTTGCCCAATACTGGCTTGAGGAGGAAGCAGGCAGCATAAGATCCTTAAACTCTTCTAGATAAATGGGAAGTCTGACTCGATGTGGGACAAGGATCTTGATTACTTGCCCAAGTCCACTCCCTACCAGGCTCAACAAAGTCCAATCAGGTATCTGAGCCACCAAAGTAGCTTCTGGAGCAAAATCATTCCTTTTGAATTAAGCACTATCCTGTTCAGGCTTCTCTTTCAACAAGCAGAGGACATTTAGAGCCCTGTGGCTGTATTTTTCCATGATGGGCAGCAGAGTGGCATATCAGTGCTCTTGAAGGCAGATCTGATCATAGCAATGGCTCTGTGGCTTCACTGCTAGGGTGATTCCCCTGGACTGGATACTCATGAAGGACTCCTTTGCTCTGATAAAGTAATTCCTAAATCTCCCCTCCCCTTGAGACTGGCAGGAGAAAGGCGGAGCTGAAAATACAGCCAGGGATGAGACAGACATGACCCCTGCCTGGGGAGAGTGGCCAGACCAGGAAGACAAACTCACCCTTTCCACCAGGCAAAGATGATGCGGCCCAACATGCCAGTTGAATCTGGGGGAGAGAAGCACTGGTAAGGAGCAAGGGAGAGCCTTGGGGGCTGTTGAGCCTGGCAGACCCTGGCACTGAAACAGATGATTCACCTTGGGTCACTGCTCTAGGAGCTCAGTTTGGTACAATAAATATTGGATAGACAGAGCTGTATGATGGGGTCAGAAGTGTCTAGACTTAGTAGTTCCTGAGTATGTACCCAAGAGAACTATGCACCCATGCATGCCAAGACACGGACCAGAAACATTCTTTGCATAAACAGCAAAAAACTGGGAATAACACAAATGCTCACTGACAGCAGAATACACAGATTCTAGTACATTCCCTCAGTGGCACAGCAGACAGCAGGGAAAATCTAATGCACAACTACTCATATCAAAATGGAGGAATCCTAGTAATATAATCTTGAATGAAAAAGTAAGCCATGAAAACTACATAGAACAAAATACACTTTTCATAAGGCTTTAAAACTGAGCAATACAGTATTTTGATATATATATCTATATGGAACACCTATTAAAATAAAAAAAAAGGAACAGCAAGAAATCCTGTGTGGAAAGTTGAGAGGTTATTGTTGATATTCTAGTTCTTAGGTTGGACAATAGGTTCACAGGTGAGTTTTAATTTAAATTTTAATTGATACTCATTAGAGTATAAATTTTAAAAAAGGGACTTGAACTGCAGGTTGATGACAAAGAGCTGGGGGCATGGGGTAGAGGGAGAGGCTTCCTCAGGCTAAAGAGAGTCAGAGAAGTCTCTAGAATCAGCCAGACCTTCATTTGAACAATAAATGCTTACTGGCTACTTACTTGCTGCCAGACACTATGTGAGGTAAGGGGAATACCAGTGACTCAGAAGGTGTCATGGTTCTGGACTCAAAATCCAGTGTAAAAGGAAAACAATCAGTATGAAAAACATTGATTTAGACCAAGGATCAGTTAACTGTGGTCTGTAGTCTTCTACTCCCTGTTTTATAAATAAAATTTTATTGGAACATAGCTGTGACCACTCATTTACAGACCGTCTATGGCTGTTTTTGTGACATGTAGCAGAATTATTTGCTGTGACTGAAACTATAGAACTTACAATGTGTAAAATATTTATCATCACATCCTTTACAGCGTTTGCCAACCCCTGATTTACACCCTTTATACTGAGAGTAGCACTCAGTAAGTTCAGGAGGGGGATCACAAAGGACTGTTTTAGAACCAAACAATTGGGAAGGCCTCATACAGTGGACAGAGGACTCTTACCTTGTTTGAAATTGAAGGCATGGACCCTTAAGTGGCAAATGCAAGGAGAAGAGAAACTAAGCTGTGAGGAGGGTTGGAAGTCTCCTACAACATATAAAGGTGGGGACCATAAGATGGCCTTCCCCATTCTCCACTGGAAAAGACATACTCACCTCTTGCCACAACCTCTATCCTTTGGCAGTGAGGCCTTCTATCTAGACATCTTTATCCAACCCTGGGCTTGAGGAACACCACTAAACACTCTGGTGGGCACCTGAAATCCCTACTGCTTTCAACCTTCACAACAATCCTATGAACTTCCAAGAGAGCACTCCCTTTCACAGATGAAGCAACTGAAGCTCCAGGAAGATAGTCAATAAAAACGGGACATTTTACAAGAAAATCTGCATTTCCTGCTTTTTTTGGAAGAACCTGAAGACATGGCAATACTGAGCCTGCCTTCCCTTACTACTGCAACTGGCTGGGGCTAAGCAGTGGCTACCTCAGAGGAGGCATGTGTACAACACATTTCTAATCAGGCCTGCTCTGCTCCTACATTTCTGTCCCCTGTGTGTCCCTGGAAATAATACCCACCAGGTGGCTTTACAGGCTTCCTCCCTCTATCACTTATCTTACCCTCTTCCTTTCAAGTATATTTTATTCTCCACAAAATTTTTATTGTTCTACTTAAGATTCTAGTATTGGATCAACTTAGTGACTTTGAACATGCTCAGATTATTTTTACTTGTTGAGGGAGCTCACTGGGCCAGACTCTCTTTTTCTTCCTTCTGACTGCACACTCACATCCCAATAAGGTGTATGTCCTGCATACAAGGGCCACTAGGTAGAAAGGGGGCGTACTCTACCTTTCATCAACAGTCTGCAGGGCCCTTGTCAGAATCTGGAAGTTGGCACTAGGCTGTAATAATGACACATACCTTCCTATTATCTTAAAGTCAACACTGTCCACTAGACTAGGAAACTTAATTCCTACTTGCCTCAGTTACAATTAGTTGAGCTGTATGATCTAGAAATTTTTGAGCAGCAGTAAGGGATCAGCTGTCTACAAATTGTACAAGGCTCCACTCTCAATCCCACTGGCAAAAGTCAGTGGTAGTTAAGAGTGGGACACAGGAGTCCATTGGTGTGGGTCCAAATCCTGGCCCTACATTAACTTAGGCCAAGTGGCTAAACCTCTCTGTGCTTCAGTTTAATGAAAGCTTGTTTTGATACCAACAGCAGGCTTTAAAAAGTGGATATTTCTGCATATCTTAAAGTGATCTCATTTTTTTTTTTTTTTTTTTTTTTTTTTTTTTTTTTTTTTTTTTTTTTTTTTTAGTAACTTTAAGACATACATAGGCAACATGTTGGCGAAAAGAGTAGGGTACTTAGAAATGACATGAAAACATCAACTACTGAATTCCAAACACCCAGCCTATAGCAGAGCAACAGAAAAGGTCCAAATTAAGGACACACTCTGGTTCAAATCCACGTCCTATAAGTTACTGGCTGTGACCCTAGCCAAGTTACTTTTTTCGTGCCTTAGTTTATCTGTAAAATGGGGATAATGACAATACCTATCTCAGAGCTACTGCAAAGTCAGTACACTTAATGACTGGCAAATAATAAACACTGTGTCAACTATTATTATTAAAAGAAGAGGTAGCTACAACAAGCCACAGATCACCACTTCTCCACTATCAGAGAAAGGGCTTCTTTCAAGAGGTGACTCACATTTGGCCAGTTTGCTCAGTCTTAATGGTAAGGATGCAAGCATGGGCTTCCTGATCCTCTAAAAGATCCATGGAGGCTCACCAGAGATGTGGCCAGGCTCATGCTGAAAAAGGGCCTTCCCTTGGGTCTGATTTAAGTTCCCACTGGGAATAGTAATAAAAGACAAGGGACAGTGGAGACAGCCACAAATCCTTTTCTTCTCTACTTCACTCTCTAGGTGGCATGGTACCAAACCATATGCTTTACTTTTCATTAATGGTTTTTAAAAATGCTGTACACATCCAACAGATAGTTATAATAATTATACCATCATCTAGTATTCCAAGAGTTTCCAAAATGCCTTTCATTCTTCCCATAACCTCCTCTTTCCTACTCAGGACTATTACAAAATTGTTTTTTTTCTAGAACAAATTTCCCACACTTCTGGAAGCTGTTGGTTTTATTCAATAACCATAGTCTTATGCAGCTCTACACAAAGACTAGGGGTAAAGGAGGGGAAAGATTAATTTAGCGATTCAAGCTCCAGGTGATTTACGGACTCTGAACAATATGTATAGGGAACTGAGTGTGGCTGCAAAGCTGGTGCTCAGGATGAGAGCATTCTGGTGGTGGTCGACTAATTATCGTTGAATAAAGCAATAAAAATATTTATAATTAACCCAGCTGAATTTTGTTTTTTAACAGGGCACAAGGCACTGTTCTAGGAACTGGGGAGAGTTGGCTCCCAGATCCAATCAGGCACGAGTCCGGAAATACACACATCACAGCCCAGTACTAGAGGCCAGACCACTGGGATGGGGGAAGGGAGGGGCTGGGCTTCCCAGTCAGGGCAAAAAGAGGCCAGAGAGGTGGCAAGGCTGACAGCAGTGACAGGCGAGGCCCCAGGGGCCCAGCTCACCTTTCACCAACCAGGTGGCAGTGGCAGCTGAAACAGAAGCTTTTGCGTTCCCCACCCCTATGCCCAGCAAGACTGCGTGGGTGGCGAGGGAGCCTGAGAGACTGGAAGCAAAGGCCTGGAGAAGAAAAAAAGGTGCGGTGAGGAGTGTGCGCAGGAGCACGATGGCCTAAATTCTATTTATCATCAGCTCTTCCAGATGTGTGAACTGGAACTTGTCACAGTCCCGCTCTCGGCCTCAGTCTCCAATCTCTAAATGGGGAAACAGGTGGGCCGCATTGCCTCCCTCACCCGTGGATATAGGCTCCCCCCGACCCCAGTCGGCCGGGCTGACCTGCACGGAATCCCATAACTGGTAGGGCAGATAGTCCGGGCTGACGCTATCGGGGAAGCCCTGCGGCAGGAAAACGGCTATGAGGCTGGAGAGAGGTGGTGAAGCAGTGCCGAGAGCACCCCCTGCGCCGCCAGCCAGTCTTTGGGGTTTCACTGTAAAGGCCCCGGAGAAATCCCACCAGCGCCACCCCCAAGCTTCCCACTGCAGACTCCCGTCGGCGGCGGCGAAACAGCCCCGCGCCGCCCCGGAACCGAACTGTTCACAGCACAGTGGGCGATTAAGATTCGTGGCGTCAGCCATCTCGCAGCTCTTCCTTCAGGCCCGCTAGACAGGAAACGTGGCGGGACTACATTTCCGGCTTGGCTACGGCGGCTGTAGAGGTGCAATCTTTCCTCGCCAAAAGGTCGCGGGCATTCGCGTCCTGCTTTGTGCAGCCTGGGAACCCACATTTCCTCTCTTACCTCCTGGCTTCTCTGAGGACACCCCAGGGCTGGTCCCCGCCCTTTTGTAGCTGGGCCGCCCGAACAGTGGGAACGGTTTAGCCTGCCAAGTCCTGGAGATACCTGCTTTCCCGTAACCCGCAACTCTCAGTTTTGGGGAGAAGGAAAGAGGGCATCCCTGGGGAACCGTTGTGTTTGAGAACCAGTGCGGCCACAGAATTTTTAGTTGTGTGATTTTGGGAAAGTCAGTGTCCCTCTCTGGGCCTCAGGTACTTTTGTTGTTGTTGTTGTTGTTGTTGTTGTTGTGAAGGCAGGGACTATATATTACTCCTTATTTTATCCCCAGAACCTAACACACAGTAGGTGCTTAAAAGATACTATGAATGCATGCATGGATGAAAAAATGAACTAATGCATGAGAAGTTGGAGCAAATGATCCCTGAGATCCTGGGCCTTACTCATGACTGGAAGAGTATTATTTCTGAAAGGATCTTTAGGACACCCGAGGAATGAGAAAATCAAGGGGTTCTGATTAATAGTCTCAGAAAATGAGAAATAGGCAAGAAGTTCTTGTGTGTTTACTGGGGTGTTTATTGTGTGTTTATTGTGCTTATCCATGAAATTGAGGGGAGAGTCTAAAGACAGTGTTTCTGTCTCCCAACTCACCCCTTTTTCTCTTTCCCTCTCTTCCTTTCTCCTTCCATCTAGTGCAATGTACTGATTCCAAAGTTGAAATTTGCTAAAAGTGCCCCCTCTCTCTCTCTTTTTTTTTTTTTTTTGAAAGCAGAAAATAAAACATCTGGGTTTCTTAGTCTGGCATTCTTGGACTCCCATAGTCTGACTCCCTGGTTGAAACTTCTGACTTTTCCGAACTGATAAGGAAGCATAAGGCAAGTGAGGGCAAAGCACAAGCCAGCAACCCCCTACACCCACCCCAGGTGGGATATATGTGACCTTCCTCAGGCACTCACAGTTGCCCAAGAACAAAGGAAAGGGGAAAACCAATGGATAATTGATACAGAGCACAGTCATTCAGGACATGAGTCTCCGTAAGTTTATAAATGTCTTAGTAAATTATAAGAAAAAGGCCATCTTATCAATAGCCTAACCTCCAGAAACCCATAGACTCAATTTCCTGGAGCCCTAACACTACCCTCCCCTCCATGGTGATGTGGAGAATAAAGGCAAGATGAAAATACAAATAAAATTAAATTTATAACCTGCAGCCCATTGACAAATATTTGAGATAGGCAGAGTAAAACATTCCTCCAATAAACTCCCAACTGTCTTGTCATAATGTTAATATCTTACTAGAGGGAAAACAACTTTAACTTGACAATAGCAATGCCTCCAGTATGATAGGAGTCCTCTTTAGCATATGAAAGTCTTTTGGAGGTCTCCCTTTTGCCTTTACCTCCCCCAAATCCATAGTATATAATTGGTCACTCATCACAGCCCTAGTGCAGCTCTTTCTGCTCACAGGTCCTGTCCCTGTGCTTTAATAAAATCACCTTTTTGCACCAAAGATGTCTCAAGAATTCTTTCTTGGCCATTAGTTTGGACCCACCACCACTCCAAAACCACATCAGACTATCCTCTTGGACCTCAACCTGGAAGCCCTTCTACCCCGCTTCACCTTATCTGAGACCTACACAGAGTCTCCTTGCTGCTAAGATAGACCTGGGGCACTTCATTATTATCATTATTTTTTTTTAAATTTTAGTTTCTTGGTAGAGTGAAAAATTGAAGGGTTACAAACATATAATATTTTACATATGTATGTATGTATGTATTTATGTTTTTATTTTAATTCCAGTTAGTTAACAAAGTGTCATATTGGTTTCAGGTGTACAATTCGGTGATTCAACACTTCCATACAATACCCGGTGCTCATCACAAGTGTTCTGCTTAATGCCCATCACCTATTTAACCCATCTCTCCACCCACCTCCACTCTGGTAACCATCAGTTTGTTCTCTATAGTTGGGTCCATTTTGTTGGTTTGCCTTTCTCTCTCTTTTTTCCTCTATGCTCATTTGTTTTGTTTCTGAAATTCCACGAGTGACATCGTATGGTATTTGTCTTTCTCTGACTGATTTATTTTGCTTAGCCTAATCCTCTCTAGCTCCATTCGTGTCATTGCAGATGGCAAAATTTCATTCTTTTTAATGGTTGAGTAATATTCCATTGTGTGTGTGTGTGTGTGTGTGTGTGTGTGTGTGTGTGTGTAATATCTTCTTTATCCATTCATCAGTCAATGGACACTTGGGCTGTTTCCACAGTGTGGCTGTTATAAACTACTATATATATTGCTGCTATAAACATTGGGGTGCACGCATCCCTTTGAATTAGTATTTTTGTATTCTTTGGGTAAATACCTAGTAGTGCAATTGCTGGATCATAGGGTAGTTCTATTTTTAACTTTTTGAGGAACCTCCACACTGACAAATGTGTAATATTTTAAGTGCTAGCCTCTGTGAGTGCACTGAACTCTGAAGCCAACTGCTATGAGTGAATTCCCTCAGAGGGCCTTAGTTTGAGTCTAGGTTCTGTAACTTAGTATCTATGAGATCTTGGGCAAGTTTCTTAACTCACTGTTTTTCAGTTTCTTCATCTGTAAAATGGGAATACTACTAATAAGACAATAGGGTTGGGATGAATATCAAATGCGCTATATATGTACAGCTTTTCAAACTACGTTTGGCACACAGAATATGCTATTTACGTGTTGACCGTTATTTGGAGTTAATGTCAAGTATTCAAATGTAGGGCTTTTTCCTCCATATGAGGCAGTTCAAATGGCCCTCATGATTAGCATCACCATATAATTCATTATCCAAATCAGAATTTTTGAGAGTGTCATTAAAGGAGGCACTATTAATAATTGCATTTATTAATTGGGAAAACAGACTGGAGTTGTTCTGGGCAAATTGCTATATAGTATCACAGTAATTATGGGCCTCTCAGCTTTAGTGACCGCTATTGTCCACATTAACCTCCCCCTGCTCAGATACCATGGCAGCCCTTATTTAACTGTAGCACTTATTTAACTCTCAGCATGTGCTTTTTGGAGCCAGTTTGTGTTTGCATTTGTTAGGTATCTATGTCTTGTCTTTCCAAATGGACTGTAAGTGTCTGAAGACAAGGACTCATCATACACTTCTTTGAGAAGTGTCCAGATCAATGACTTAACAAAGAGATGAGTGATTGTTCCCCTTTTCCTACCCCATGAAACCTCTTGGCAGCCTGCATTCAACAGTATACCAAACACTGAGCAGAATATTACAAACTGCTTATCTCCTTGACTTTACCCTCATTGATCCCCACACTTCCACTGCTGCCTCCTTACAGTCCACTGTCCACGAAGTTTAGAGTTCCTCTGCTTAAAACCTCTTAGTGACTTCCAATTACTTTTATGGAAGAAACACTCTCCTTCAAATCTTTCAGTGGTTTTTCTTCACACTTGGAAATAAAAACACAAACTTCTTGTCTTGACCCACAAAGCTCCGTAGATTGGGTCCTGCCCTATTTCTCAAATGTTTTCCTTATAATTAATTCATCCTCTATTCATGCCACTAGAACATAAACTCCAGGAGGACAGGAACTTTGTCTTTGGCACTGAATATATATCCAGTGCCTGGCACAAGGTGGCCCTTGTAAAAGGGCCCTTTACAGTAGCCCTTGTAAAGTAGTTATTATTTTATTCCTTCTTCACAAACAAGGAAACTAAGATATATGTGGAGTGACTTCACTGAGGTTACAGAGCTGAAAAGTGACAAAATCATTCATTTATTCATTTAACAAATATTTAGTGAGCAGCTGCTACTCTTCTAGGCACTGAGGCAGGACTCATATTTGAGGCTAATGATTTTAGAAATACACCATCTTTTTAATTTTGTATTTTTTGTGAGAATTAAAAAAATAATAGAAGGATGCATTCTTTCTGTGAAATAATTCAAACAATAATATAAATAGATAAGATCAAGTTCTCCCTCGACATTTATCTCTTTTCCCATTTCCCAACAAATATTAGTCAATCCCCAGAAGTAAACATTGTGTACTATTCTACACAAACACGCGCGAATGCGCGCATTTGTGTAGAATAGTACACAATGTTTACCACACACACACACACACACACACACACACACACACACACAGAAATATATAGTTTTACATTTAATCCTTACTCCCGTACTCCCATACTTGCAGCCTGGGGTAGCCTGCTCTAATTATGATTCATTTAACATTATAATAGAGATCTTTTCATATCAGCACATATATATCGACTTCATTTATTTTAATAGCTGCATGTCATTCCATACTATGAATGTGCCATAATTTCTTTAATAATTCCTCATAGTAATGGGCATTTGGGTTTGTCTACCTTTTCATTATTACAAATAATTTCATTCTTTTCTTTAAAATAGAGTTCAAGGCAGAATCATTGGGTTGAATCGTATGTGTATTTTAACTGAAACAAGTTTTGTCAAGTTATCCCTTTAAAAAGCTTTACCATTTTATATTCCTACTAACAGTGCATGAAAATGCTTGTCATAATCAATTTATATATATTTCTATTGTCCAAAAAATTTCCCTTGGGCAGCTTTGCATTTTAATCTCCACTCTTGTGTTCTTTTTTTAATTAAAAAAATATATTTAAGTTTATTTATTTATTTTGAGAGAGAGAGACAGAGAGAGAGAGTGAGCAGGAAAGGGGAAAAGAGAGGGGAACAGAGGCTCTGAAGCAGGCTCTGTGCTCACAGCAGAGAGTCCAATGTGGGGTTCAAACTCACAAACCGCAAGACCATGACCTGAGCTGAATGAAGTTGGACACTTAAGCAATTGAGCCACCCAGGTG